AGCTCCTCGGCTTATTTTGTGTGTGCTTGTGGGTTTGAGCTGGGGACAGGGGATGCTTATCAGCTCTCCGGAGGTGGCTGCTATTACGGCTTATCAGCCAGCCCCCATTTGCAGGAGCAGCTCCTGCACGTGGGTCGATGCAGGGTGGAATGGCAGAGCTTTCCCTGCTCCCCAGACCCTCATCCCAGTGCGTTGCTCAGGGCAGGTCCGAGGGGGTGAGGTTGTCCCCAAGGTGGGCTCGTGCCCCAAAGCCCCCCGGGAGCTCCACACATCAGGAGGAGGATTTGCAGCTTGCAATTATGCTCCATTAAGGAGCGCTAATGGGGTTGGATTTGGTTGGGGCCACGTGGGCAGTAAGGTCAGGGCGGGACAATATCCTGTTGACATCACTCCCAAGGAGCACTTCACCAAAATGGGTCTTGCTGGAACTTCTCCTGGGTGCAAAACCCCAAAGTGGGGCACGGCCTCTTCCTTCTCCCCCGTTATGAGTGGGGTGAGGCACCTTAATTGGAGGGGTGGGGGAAGGGCTGTGCTGGCGTGGGGAGGGGGCGGCGGGTCTGGTTAACCTGCCTCATTAGTGGCCGTATGACATCATTATCTCACATTAGCGACACTCTTCCAAAGGTAATTGGGAAGCCTCTGGAATGGCCCCGTGACCTTTAATTAATGCAGTGGGGCCTTTTCCTTGTGCAATCCCTCCCTCCGCCTCCAGCAGCTGCTTCTTGTTAAGATGCCGGAGCGGGGCAGACCTGCTCCCACGCTGGGTTCTCTAAACCACGGCCTCGTGCAGAGGTGGGCAAGCTGTGGGCAGCCCCCTGGGTGCAGTCACAGCCTCAGATCCCCCCCACACATCCCATGGGGCAGAGCTGGGTTGCAATGCCACGCTCCTGCGGCCGGCGATCAGAGCACTGAGAGCGATCAGGGATGGAGCGTGCTCCTCCCAACCCTTTCATCTCCTTCCAGCTGTAATTCTGCTGTCTGCTCCTGCTTTGCAGTTGTTATTGTCTCTTTGGTTCGGCCTCAGCTGCTAAATCAATGGGCAGAGATGAGTCAGACAGGTAGCACGGATTTCCATTAGCACCGTGTGCTGGCATTGCTATTAGTGGGGTTATTGCAGTGGCTGCAGCCCAGCATGGCACTGTGCTGTGCACATCCCAACATGCAGAGCCATTGCATCCAGGGGTGCCTTAAGTTCTCCTCAAGGAACCACGAGGCCTTTTGCAGCATGCAAAGCACCTCAGCCATTTAGAACATCCAGCCCAAGCCCAACTGGTGTGCAAATCCACCCCCCTTGCAAGGGAAAGGGGGAAGAAGAAATATTTTACTTTCGTGAAAAAAAATGTGCGCTTGAAATAGGATTCCCAGATGTGAGCAGGGAGACAGGAAGATGGGAGAGCTCTCTGCAATGGAAGGGCTTTGCTGGAAACAATAACATTTCCTCAAAAGACAATGGCCTAATAAAGGGAGGTGGGTTTATTTGCCCTGCTGGGAGGCATATGGGTTCCCATTTCTGATGGTGCCACCAGAACCAGGATGTGAACAGTGCTGGAGCATCACAGCTCCTGCTTCCTCCTGCTTCCTGCCTTCTGCATGGCCCAGCCAGGAGCATGGCAGCTTGTGGCACTGGTGGCACTGGGGTTACTGGTAGCACTGGTGGCAGTAGGGACACTGGAGTTACTGGTGGTACTGGGATGACCACGCACTCTGTGTTAGTGGCATTTCAATTCTCCAGCCAACTCTCCAATTCTCTCCAAGCACTGACATCTGTCCCTAGCCTGCTCAACTCCATCCCAACACAACAGCATCCCAACACAACATCTTCCCAACACAACCCCATTCCAATCCAAACCCCTCTCAACCCAACAGCATCCCAACCCAACTCCATCCCCATCCAACCTCATCCCAACACAACTCTATCTCCATCCAACCTCATCCCAACCCAACAGCATCCCAATCCAACCCCATCCCAACACAGTTCTATCCCCATCCAACCCTATCGCAACCCAACAGCCCAACCCCATCCCAATCCCATCCCACCCTACCCCAACACTGTCTCAAACCAATTCCATTCCAACACAATCCCATCCAACCCAACCCCATCCCAACCCAACAGTATTGCAACCCAACCTCATCCCAACCCAGCAACATCCTAATCCAACAACGTTCCAACCCTGGAACTCCACAACCCAACCTCCTGGTCATTGCAGCCTCTTTTTAGGGTTGTGCACCAGGAGGTGAAAAATCGGGGTTGGGGGGGGTGGAAGCGCTGACTTTCTGGGTGGAAGTGACACCTAGTGGAAATGGCAGGGAAATGGTTTCTGCAGGTGAAGCACCGATCCTGCTGGCAGTGGGATTTGGATGTCTGTGAGCTGGAGCTTCGGCCCAGCAGACTCATGGGGACAAAAAAAGGACAAAGAGAGCAGAGCTGCTAGGGAAGAACTTGGAGGCGTCTCAGAGCGCACCGCGGAGAGGTGGCTGTGGGGTGACAGCTGTCACCTGGTGGTGGATGCTGGTCCCCAGCCACCGCCACCACAAACCACACTGTGTGTGACTGCGTCACGCCGCAGCGATGCAGCTTTACACCATAACCCCGCGGTGGCCCTGACTCCTTCTGCAGCTCCACGTGGGCGCAGCTGACGTCCCCTTGGCACAGGGACCCATCCTGCCAGCACGGAGCTGTGTCCCAAGGCTGCTGCACACTGAGAGCAGCCAACGCTTGCAGGGAAACCTGAAACCCAGCGAGACTTGGATGAGCAACCCGAAACTCAGGCCAGGATGCGAGGCTTTGGGAGAGCTTGGCGGGGTGTCAGCCAGGCGCAGGCTGGGTTTCGCAGCAGCCAAGGCGCTGACCTTTGAGTGAGCCCACTGGGAAGCATGGGCTGGGATGTTAACAGAGCCTGGGGACAGATTTCCATGCACACACATACACAAAAAAAAAAGGGGGGTTAGGGAAAAACAATGCCAACCTCTATGGTTTGGGGGTGATGATTCCCAGCCTCACCTGCCCCAAACCAGCAGAACCAGCCTGGTGGTTGCAGCACAGAGCTCGGAGTTTCAGTGCAAGGTTAACCCCTTCCTGGATCTGGAGATGTCTTTCTCTTTCCATCATGCTTGTTGTAATTGTCTACCTTGCTTCTTGCAAACCCATCCCTCCCTCTGTGCAGACACACTGTGATGGATCTGGATCAAGGCAGGGAGATCTTCTCTGTGACCCAGCCCACACTGCACTGTCCCTGGAGTGGGTTCAGCCCAAAGAAACCCTTTGCACAAAAGAGGATCCTCAGTTTCCCTGAGCTCCATTCCCTTGCTCCTGGCTCCTTCTCCCACGCTCCATCCTGTGCCATCGGGCAGAGAGGGGCCTCATCTGCTGCGTTATTTCAGTCCCATCTCTAATTACAGGGTGACATCCGTTATTTATATCACATCCTGAGCGCCCAAGCAGCAATGTGTGGGCCTGGGAGCAGGCGGCAGCCGGAGGTACAGGAGCATCCCCCGAGCAGCATGGGGTGCAGCACGCCGTGCCTTCAGGGTCAGCCCAGAGGAAGGCAGGGAAGCGCCTGCAGATGTGCAGCTCCCCCGAGGATGGTGCGTGGGCTTCACCCCGGTCAACAAAATAAACACTTGGATGCCTCTCGCTCCGAGCCGTGCTCGCATCCCGCCGGCCGGGGTGTGTGCAGTTCCTGTTGGGTTTGGTGCCGGTTGTCAATGTGACACCGCTAACAGCCCGCTGCTGGCTCTGGTTCCGTCCCGCTGCGCCTGCAGCTTTCATGTTCCCCGCTGCGGTCTGTGAGGCGGGGTGGAGGGCTCAAAGGGAAGGAAGCGGGCGCAGCCAAGGGGAGGAAGCCGGCTGGTTTCCCTTCTGCGTCTGCGAGCACGTGCGGGGAGCAGGGGGAGCAGGGCGCAGCCAGATCAGACGGCAGATAGGGCTGGCAGGCAGCAGCCCTCTTTCCTCCCCCACGTTCCCACTGGCTCTCTCCCCGTGTGCGTCAGCCTGCAGGATGCACAGGGCCGCGTGCTGCCGCGTGGCCGTGCAGTGCGTGACGGCAGCCGCGCAGGGGAGCTTCCTCCCTGCAGGACGGGGCCACAGCAGGGGCAGGGCAGCAGTTCCCAGCTATTTCTGGCTGCTGGGGTTATTTCTGGTTCTGATTGCCATCCCGTGGCTGCTCGGTTCCCCTGTGCGCACCCTATGATCCCACTGATGCTCTCCGTGACCCATCTATGGGCCATCCCGTGGGGCTGTGATGCCCATAGGGCTGCGATGCCCATCCCGTGGGGCTACAATCCCATGGACCCCATAGAGCACAGGGCAGAAATGTGCCGCCCGCCGCCTCGCCTCTGCCCCAGCAGCTTCTAAATAAGGAGCTGCCCTCCCCACAGCTCAGGTGACACGGGGACTATTTTTAGCAGTGAATGGAGCAGAGCTGAAGCTCTCTGCCCCCGTCAAGGGTACGGCATCATGTTGTGCTGGGGGGATTTTCCTGCATGGCTCTCTGAATGGCTCTGTCACCACCTGGGGCTGTGGCACAGGTAGGATGCAATGTTGTGGCCTCTCTGCTTCTCCTCCTGCTGCTGGGTCCCCCCTGCTGGCTCAGGGCTCTGTTGCATTTCCTACCCCAAAAAGCTACAAACTTCTCTGCTTGGGTTGCACTGCATGCTCTCTCCTGCATGGCACTGGGCAGCAGGAAAGAGCCTCAGCTCTCTGCTTTTTTGCACAGGTTGGGGGAAAAGCAAGTGGGAAAAGGGAAGGAGAGATGCAATATCCTGGTGCTGTGCAGAGGGAATACCCGGAGCAGCCAAGAACGGAGTGGCCATGGCCATAGCCAGCTCAGCACCACCTGTGGGGTCTGCCACGAGCCATCCTCACGGGATGAGATCCCACTGATTCCAGCCCCAAAATGAGCGGGGCCGATGGCAAGGGGGCATGCTCTGCTAGTGATGCCATGCCCCCTCCTCACTCCCTGCTTTCTCCGGCCCCCTCCCCTTGCTGTGCTGCTGCAGGCATGGATAACTTCGAGTACAGCATCCAGCTGAACGACCGCGACTGGGCTGAGTTCTTGCGGGCGGTGGAGGAATGCAACCAAGAGCCGGCTGCCCTGGCCACAGCAGAGGAGCAGTGCCTCAGTGACATTGAGCAAGGGGACGGTGTGCCCGCTCCGTGCAGCATCAGGGCAGGCGCCGAGCCAGGGCTTGGCAAGGCGAGCTGTTCCCCACGTGGGCTGTGCGGAGAGGACGAAGCAGATCTGTGCTCATCCACTCTACGTGAAGGCAAGCAGCCCGTCTGCCCTCTGTTTGCTGCCATGCCCAGCGTGCAGGGCAGGCAGCCGCCCCATCCACCTGCAGCTGAGGGCACCGCGGGGCAGGATGCAGCGTCGGGAGAGGGAGATGCTGGCAGCGGGGCCATGGAGCATGCTGAGCACCCTGCTGCGCCCTGTGCCCAAGGAGAAGACGCCGATAGGCAGCCCTGTGGGAGCCCAGTAGTGGCACAGGGTGGTGCCCAGGAGGCTACTGCATGGAAAAGCCATGCTGGGGTGCCAGGACCTACCCATGAGCACCCTGCTGCAGAGCCTGCTGCAGAGCTTGGGGAGAAAGCAGGCAGCCAGCCCAGCGTCCTGGAGGTGGTGAGACCCAAAGTGCCAGCATCAGCAAGGAAGAGCCGCAAGCAGCGTGGAGTTGGTGGCACCGAGGTGACCCCTGGGGACAAGGAGCCAGCAGGAAGCCCGGTGAGGGGCAGCACAGCATCCAGCAGGGCCCCCTCGTCTTCCCCACTGACCTCAAGGAAGGGCAAAGGGAAGGAGAAGGCGGCCAAAGCAGCACCCATGAGGCTGAGCAGTGAGGAGGCTGCGGAGAGCAAACGGCCGACGGGCAGCCCTGGTGTGGAGCTGGGGGTTGTGCCCCCCAACGTGTCCCCAAAGCTGAAGGCAAAGGAGTCAGGAGCACAGTCACCAGGGAAGGCAAGGGCCACCAAGCTGGCCAGGCAGGTGGGGGGCACAGGGGCGTGTGACACTGTGCCAGTGGTGGTCACAGCACCGGACACCACGCCAGTGGTTGTCACCCCATCTGTTGTTGTCGCTATACCAGATGCCACGCCAGTGGTTGTCACCACACCAGTGGTTGTCACTGGGCTGGGAGAGCCGTGCCAGGAGGGGAAGGCTCTCGGTCCCCAAAGTGTGGCTGCTGCTGCTGGGGGCTGCAGGGATTTCACAGCCAGCCCCCCCCCAGGAGATGGGCTCCCCAACATTCACAGCTGGGGGCTCTCCTGGGGCAAGCACCCTGGATGTGACATGGCCTGAGATGTACGAGTATTTGTTCTGTGAGTCCCAGGGGGAAGAAGAAGCAGCAGAGAACACGGTGGAGGGTGAGAAAACGCCCTTGGAAAGGGAAATATCCTTGCCTGAACTGTATGAGTATTTTTTCAATGAACCTGAAGGAAGTAGGAAAAAAGCCAAGCGTAAGGAGAGGAAGAGGAAGGAGTTCTTTGGCTTGCACCACGCTGAGCTGCAAAAGGAGGATCCCGAAGCGGCTACAGCCAAAGAGCCCCCGGTTGCCACAGTGCCTGAGCTGTATGAACACTTCTTCCCCGACAGACCCCAGCGCAGGGGGGGCTGGAGGGGATTTCTCTTCTATTCACCAGCCTCTGAGGTGAGGAAAGCCATGGGGGCTCTGATGTCCATCCTGCAGAGGCCAAAGCCACACAGCACAACCCAAGCGCTGACCTCCCCATCACTGGCACGGAGTGGGTCCCACCTTGCCCTGGTGCCACTGGGAGGGGGTCCTGAGTATCCACCAGCTTTGGACATGGCCCTTGCACTGAGAGGTAAAGCAGCTGGAGCCCACGGCTGGCTCTGCATGGAGACTGCTGAGATCTGTGCGTTGCTGGCTTTGCACTGTGTATGCAGCAAGGTGTGCACTGTGCATGCATTTAGCAGGGTGTGCAGTTTGCATGCATGCAGCAGGCTGTGTGCCGGCCCCAATCCCTCTCCTAACTGGGTTAGTTGTCCCTATGTTTGTGCCATACTGTGGAACAACATACACCAGTTCCTGGTGAGGGGATGGGAGGGAAAATGGCCAAATCCTTCTGCAGCAAGGGACCCTGAGGTATGCCAATGACTGCTGAGCTGCAGACTGATGATTTGGGAGAAAAAAAGCACCAACTTTGGGGCTGCATCCTGAATTTGCTCCCCTTCCCACAGGCAGACCCGAGGCCCCGCTGGCGCTGACCCACAAGGACATGTGCCTTGTCTTCTGTGCCTTTGCCTCCTGGGCGGTGAAGACCTCCGACCTGCAGGCTCCGGATGCCTGGAAAACCGGTGTGTGGTGTGTGGGGTTGGGGGGAGGATGGGGTGTGCAGGGAGGAAGGCGGGGATCTCATCACCGAAATGTGCTGGTGGGAAAATGCAGCTGTTTTCCTGCTGTTCCAAAGGTGCTTTCTAACATCTCCTATAGGAATGTTGGTTCTGACACCTTGCTTAGGGTCTTTCCCTGTGAATAGGGTCTGTTGTCTTGCACGTAGCCTACAAGAGACCCCAACTTTATCCCAGAACAACCTTTGCTGGTTGGGACCAAGGTGCCATTGAGGCAGCACCAAGATGGCATCGAGGTGGCCCCAGGCTGATGGGAGAAATGTTCCCCACGAAGGTCACCAGGAAGCTGACACCCAGGCTGAGAATAGCATGCTAGCTAAAGCAGCTCCACACTGTGATCACAAGGAGCTCTTGGCCAGCTCTTCCTTGCCTTCTTAGTATCAGGGGCAGACGTGGGCACAGTGTGCTTCATGCCATGGGATTGCATAAAGCAGTGTGCAAGGAGCTTTTCTTGGGCACGTATGAGATGATCTGATCTCTGCTATGAGCCAAACTGAAAGATTTTGCTGGGTGTTCAGAGAAGAGCTCTATCCATTTGTTCTGAGTTTTGGGTATTTTCTGCTTTTGGCTGGGATCAGGATGTCTGATGCGTGGTGGGACAGGGGCCTGGGATTACAAAAACTCCTGGCACTGTGTTGGCACCAAGTTAAGGCCATTGCCTTTGAGATATCAGGAGAGCTAACTCAAGAGATGCAGCTTGCTGCAATGGTTTTTTTCCACAGTATCTCATATATAAGTTGTCGTAAGCCATGCCAGACACAACCACCGTCACCATCCCAGCATCCACACCTTGTGTAGATATACTGTGATCAATGCAACATTGTCGCTCAATCCAACACCATCATGGTGCTCAATCCAACACCATCATGGTG